CACAGATGGTTTTCCAGAGCAAGGCAGCAGAAGCATCTCCGGATGAGGACAGCGTAGACTGCTTGTATTGGTAGGGATGCATGTCACCAGGTGTGGAGGGGTGTGCATATCCACCCTGTATGGACATAACACATTTCTCCATGTCAGGTTGAATCCTGGCATAGGCAGGTCGGAGGAGTTTCTCATGGCAATGCTGCAGGTGCCAATGGGGCACACGCTTAGTCCAGAGGAGGCGAAGCTGCTCATGAACCAGACAGTACAGCGGGTCCAGGATACTCTGAGCATCCCAGATGATGTTGCTCGGCACCTCCTGATGCACTGCAGGTGGAACGTGGATTTCCTGATCCAGTGCTATGTGGAGAACCGTGAGACCCTGCTCATCTCCTCGGGGCTGCAAGTGCAGGATGTCCAGCCCGCCCCAAGCCCAGGAACCCACTGCCCAGTGTGTGTGAACCAGCTTTGTCCCACTGAGAAGCCACCAACCCTCTGCTGCATGCACTACTGCTGCAAGGTGAAGGTCCTGGGGTCTTTGGCTCCTGTAACTTGGTGGGGAATTACTGCTGCCTAGTTGGAGCAGCTGTTCTTTGTTGTAAGTTGTTACCAGGTGATTTTCACAGGGCTCATACATTCTCTTTTCTCAGCTCTCTTGTTTGTTATGATCCTTCAGCTCCTGATTAGTCTGTTCCCACTTTTGTGCTTTTGAGTACTTATCCACAGTTTGTGGATGTTTCGTGCACACTCTGCTGGGTGGGGTGGGCTTCCAGAGTCACATGACTCAGGTGGTCCCAGTCCTGTTTAGCTCTGACCTCTCCTCTTCTGCCTTTACAGCCCTGTTGGAGTGAGTATCTCACGACTCGCATTGAACAGAACATGGTTCTCAACTGCACCTGTCCCATATCCGAGTGCCGTGCACAGCCAACTACAGCCTTCATTTGTTCCATCGTTTCGTCCGAGGAGATTATAGCCAAGGTGAAGTAGGAGAGGTGGTTACTGGGTGTCCAAGCTCTGTTTCGTTTTGGTCAGCACTAGCAGATAATCTCGCTGCTGCTTTTCCCCTCCCCATTACTAAGACTGGCAGTGTGATAATTAATTTTTGCCCAGTGGTATCTGTTGTCTCGCGTCATGGTCAATACCGGCTAATCAAGAAAGCGGAACATCAGCAAAAGAGCACAGTGGTGTTTCCTCTAAATGTGTCTCCAGCAAACAACTCTTCAGGTGCATCCTTAGTTGAGGACCAGGTGAGAGCTGTGGTAGCAGCTCACGACAAATACCCTCTGCTGGCAAGCAGGAAGCAATTGTAAAACCTAGGACAAATGAAGAGAAAATGTTTGAGCAATTTCATTTTATTGCTGCATCAGTGACCTCAACGTCCTTTCTTTTCCATCAGTCTCTGGCTTTGAGCACCTCAGGTTTTTGTGAAGATGACAGAAGTTACCACATCAGACTTAATCTTCACTCTAATTAAGTCTGTGTGGGTCTACAGACATCTCTAAACCAGGCTTCCTGAGCTCTGCTTACCTTAGTCCTCAGTCAGCAGGGGGCAGCAGGAGCTGCTTGTTCTGAGGCAGAAGCTACTTTTTCTCCTATTCTTTCACGTTTTAGGTATTACATAGAGCTGAATGCCCTCCCCACTTGATGGCAGAGCTGTAGCTGTCGCATGACAGACTTGTTGTTAATTGCTGGACAGAACAGGTGTCTCATCTGTTTTCCACTGCTCTTTTGTTTCACCGGTCTCCACCAGCAATTACTTCTCCTTTTCCCACTTGTTACTGTCATTGTGATCCTGTGTGAACAGTCATAAGGAGAAATGAACAGTAGTCCTCTATCTTGTAATTGTTCTTTAAGCCTGCAAACTGGCAGCCAAAATGGACAAGGCTACAGAAAAGCTTTTCTTTCAATGTATTTTTTTGTATCTTGTTTTCTGTAAGAAATGCTTGGAGAATTAATGCATGTATCTGGGCAATTAGTTCTTACTAGCTTTGCAAATCCTGTAGTCACACCTGTCTGAGAGCAGGATTTACTATTCTGTTGCTGTGGCTATTTTATAAAAAAAAATATTACAGGTCAACATAATTTGCAGCCAACTTTAACAAGTTGCTCTGATGCTGTCACTGAAATGTTATCTGTTTCCTTTTTTGCTCAGCAAGTGGTATGGCTGGAGGATTAATGCCTCGTGCAGAGTCACACATACAGTCATAGAATAATTTGGGGTGCAGTAGTCTGTGGAGATCTCTGGTCCAACCGTGTGCCCAAAATAGCCAGATTGTTGTGTGAAGATGTGACGCTGAAGTTAAAACATACCGCTCCAGCTTCAGTCTCCTCTGCGTCTTACATTTAGGTAGCTTCAGGCAGTTGTAAGATCCCCCTCTGTGGCCTTCTCCCCATGCTGAGCAAACCCAGCTCTCTCAGCCTCCCCTCGTACATTCTGTGCTCCAGTCCTTGTCTATCTTGATGGCCTATGGACAATATCTTCTCTAATCTGTTGATGTCTGTCTTGTATTTGGGAGCCCACACTGTTCCCAGTGTCTAATTGTGTCACCAGTGCCAAATAGCTGTGAGAAATCCCTTCCCCTGCCTGCTGGCTGCACTCTTGCTAATACAAGACTACTTGAGTTTAAACTTTTCATGCTTGTATTTCTACAAAACATAAAACCTGCCATGTTTCTGAAAGAGGTTTTCTCTCAACCTGGTTTTCCTGAAGTTCATTGAGAGTCTGTTCTTCAGAGGTGGTCTTCCATTCTGCCCCCAGGGATTCTTTGCTGGGAATCATGCCATAGGTTCCATACCTGGATTAACTCCAGTGTGTGCAAAGGTTCCTCTAAGATCTGCTGGTCAGTGTCATGCGGTACTTGTCGACTTCTTGATTGTACCTGGCTAGTTTTCTTCCCAGACCTCCATTGGACACTTGTTCCCTCTCCTTTTAGGCTTCCTGAGAACAGCTCTTTCTTCTATAGTTGCAGTAGAAATCCGAGATCTGCTTCAGCAGTTGTATCTCTGTGTCCTCCTCACCAAGAAAACGGGATACAGCAAAACTCCAGACATCAGACATTTCATTATGAAATTCAGCCTCTGTGAAGGCTGTGATTTGGTGCTGTCTGCTGACTCAAGTACCCATTTATCTCTGTGTGTACTGGTGTCTGGACAGAAATGATCACATTGCCTATCAACAGGATGACAACAGACACAGATGTTGACTTTCTTGGAAGAATGAAGTGGCTTTGTTGAGCCTTTGCCTCCACCAGGCATTTTGCCATGACACAGGCTGACATCCTTGCAGCCAGACATCACAGACTCTCTGGTTTAGTTTCCGTGAGAGAATGAACAAGAGAGAATAAATGAGAGAGAGAAATGAACGAGAGCCCTGTCTGAGCCCTTCAGGGCTCAGGGCTTGCACATTTTCTCTCTAGTGCTTGTTGTGACCTGGATTGTCCTTTGTGTGCCTGGTGGCTTTAGAGCAGCTCACCAGGTATGCAAAAATCTCTGCCAGGAGGGCTGTGAAAACTACAGGATTTCTTCTGAACTTCCTCTAGCTTTGTGTATGTTTGCACAGTCCTTACACTGCAATAACTGAACATAGAAAACTAAGCTACTACGTGCAGTATAGTTGCATCCCTGGGTTCCTACCTGAACAGTCCCTTACTGATAACCAGTTTGCCTTATCATCTGCAGGAATGTCTAGAGGCTGTGGGCAAAGTGAGTCTCCCTTCCCTTTGCACATCAGGTAACTAAGCAGAAGTCTGCCGAGGAACTTAAAATCAGAAAAAGTTAAAAAGAGCACCTGATAGCTTTCTGTGGTGAGATGATTTGCTTGGTGGATGAGGGGAGATATTGTTTATCTCATCTTTAGTAATGCTTTCTACACCATCATCCACAACGTCTTCATAGGAAAAATTAAGTACAAGGTGGATGAGTGGACAGTGAGATGGCCTGCTGAGCTCAAAGGGTTATGATCAGTGGCAGAAAGGTCAGCTGAGGCCAGTCACTAGTGGTGTCACCTAGAGGTTGATACGAAGGTTAACATTGTTTTACGTCTTCATTGATGACCTGGATGATGGGATGAGGTGCACCCTCAGAAAATTGATAAACAGCTGGGAGGACTGGTGGATGGTTGTGCTGCAAACAAGAATGTCATTAAGTTCAACAAAGGGAACTGCCAAGTCCTGCTCCTGGGCTGGAATAACCCAATGCAATAATATGTGTCTGGAGCCAAACATCTGGAAAGCAGCCCTGCAGAAAAAAAAAAAAAAAATGGTGGACAACAAGTTGAACATAAGCCAGCAGTGTGCCCTTGTGGCTAAGAAGGTCCCCTGGCATCTTAGGTTGAATTAGGAAGAGCTTTGACAACAGGCTGAGGAAGGTGATCCTTCCCCCTAACCAGTGCTGCTGAGGCCACATCCGGAGTACTATGCCCATTTCTGGGCTTACCAGTACAAGAAAGACATGGACATACTGGGGAGAAACCAACAAAATGCCACAAAGATGACTTATTTTGGAACACCTCTAGGAGAAACTGAGAGAGCTGGATTTGTTTAGTCTGGAGAAGAGAAGAGCCAGGGGTGGATCTTGTCAACATGTAGAAATACAGAAATGTGATTAAGGAGCCGGATTCTTCTTGGTGACATCCAGTGAAAGGATAAGAGGCAGTGGGCACTAATGTAAATACAAGGAATTTCATTTAAACAGAAGAATTGTGGTTTTTTTTTTTTTTTAATTGTTAGTGCAATGGGACATTGGAACAGGTTGTGCAGAGAGGCTTGTAGTCTCTATCCTTGGGTGTGCTTAAAACCCAACTGGACGTGGACCCGAGCAGCCCTGCTTTGAGCTGGAGGGGTTGGACTAGTTTTTGCCTTCAGAAATGCCTTCCAACCTCAGCTAATCTGTGATTCTATGGAGCAGCCTCCAGATCTGACACGAGGGGTGGGAATTTACACAAATGGAATGAAAGAGTAAACTAACTTAGTGCTGTTTTATTGTGAGCAGTTGTTTGGTCAGATGTGGAGCCTAGAGGTACCAGACTCCAGTTGTAAGGCCTAACCATGCAGCTTCTCTGCCTTAAATCTCCTTCCTGGCTTCTTATTACAGTATGAAAAAGCCCTCCTCAGAGGCTATGTTGAGTGTTGTTCCAACCTGACGTGGTGCACCAACCCTCAGGGCTGTGATCAGATCCTCCTTAAGGATGGACTTGGCTACGGGGCAGCCTGTTCCAAGTGCTCCTGGATATCCTGCTTCAACTGCAGCTTCCCAGAGGTGAGGCTGTGCTGAATCACGGACAGTGTTTTCTTGGGTTTGGCACACGCCATTCTGCTTTTGTGACTGGCTCTCTCTTTCAGGCCCATTATCCTGCCAGCTGCAGCCATATGTCTCAGTGGGTGGATGATGATGGGTACTATGAGGGAATGACAAGCGAAGCCCAAAGCAAACATCTGGCTAAGCTCATTTCGAAGCACTGCCCAAGCTGCCAGGCTCAGATAGAGAAAAATGAGGGGTGCCTGCAGTGAGTATCTATCCGTTTTTGTTTGCTGCTGGGGACAGGAGAGGGCAAAGACATACAGTTAGGTCTATTGGGTGGGGTTTTTTTTTGGTTGTGGAGTTAAGAGTTGTAGCAGGTCTGTTTTATAGTTTTAGAGGAGCAAGTAATTGCTTTTAATTCCTAGGAAAAGCAAAATGTTCCCCGGCATTTAGAGTTAAATCCATTGACAGCTCTGTAGTAGAACCAAACCTCATTTTGCAGTACCTTTTTATAGCGCACGCTTGTCTGCTTGAGTCCACTATAGACATACAGAGGTAGAGGTTAGGGGAGTGGATATCTCGGCACCAATTTTTTTTCTTTCTTGCTCACCTGTTCCTGTAACTTCAAGCAATTTTATTTTAATTGCCTCTTTTGAATTGGCTTGGATTTCTGGCAGCTTTTTACATGACAGGGGAGTTACCTCCAGCTTTGAAACCAGGGCTTAGGAGTCGCCATTTGTTTCTGTCTTGCACTGGCACAGCCCTTAATGCCCAGCTGCGATTTTTTTCTCCACATGTTGTATGTGGCCCTGGGGCTGTGCAGTGCTTTTCTGCCCTGTGGAGTGCTGCGTTACTGAGGGAAGAGGCGAGGTGTTCCTATGGATCTGCCTTCAAACTAGGGAATGCTCAGTTTACCCTTCAAGTACTTGGTTAGTTGGTACTGTGAGATCATACTGCCAGTTTACCCAGCTCATTTTTGGAGACGCAATGACTGGTTTTAAGCTTCACCTGCTTCCATCAAAAGCTTTAAAAAATACGTGCAGGGAAATGCATGGTACTGAGTGAATGGGAGTGACTGGGCTGCACGCTCCAGCCCTATGATGGTGGGGGAGCACTGTGAGGAATTGTCTGCGACTGAGTGATTCCCACTCTTCTTCTTCTGCCATGCAGTATGACGTGTGCGAAGTGTAATCATGGCTTCTGTTGGCGTTGCCTCAAGCCCTGGAGGCCGACTCATAAGGATTATTACAACTGCTCTGCTATGGTGAGTGGTTTGCTATATTCCAGTGGTTCATGCTTGTGTTCAGATGCACTTGGCCTCTCAGAGGGAGGGTGAGGATCTCCGCTTGTGCCCTTTACTCTGGACTTTGTGAACTTGCCAGTAATACTGATAGTATCGTAAAGTCTGTATGTGTGGTGGCCATTTCCAGGCAACCCTAGTACTTGAGGGAAGTCGCTACGAGTTAACTCTACTTTTCCTTTCAGGTGAGCAAAGCAGCTTGGCAGGAGAAGCGTTTTCAGGATTACAATGAGAGATGCACCTTTCATCACCATGCAAGGGTAAGGCTGCCTCCTCTTTGCAGATGCTGACTGTGTTGCCTTAGCTCTGTTGTGTCTCAGTGTATTTCACGTGAAGCTGAGAAGCAAGTTTCGGATCCAGGTGGGGATACCTGGTCATTTCACCCTTGAACTACCCCTTATGTCAGAGCTTGGCGTACTTTCTTCTACCAAGTCTGTTGTCAAAACCGAACACGTAACTTGTGGTGTTCACATGCTCAAACTGGTGCAGTACTTGGAAGCAATGGCAGGACTGAAGGCTGAACTCTCTCTAGAGCTGAAATACTGTAAAAGGTTGAAGTGATGGTACAGCAGACATGTCATAGTTGGATGCAGGAGATATTGTCCTGCTGCCTGCATCTTCTGGGATGTCACTTCAGGATGCTTATCGATTATCTGTGTGGAAGGTGCTATTTTTTCAGTCTTGTGGAGCTTGACACTGACTGTTTTTTCCTCCTGTGGTTATTGCAGGAATTTGCCACGAGTCTGAGGAACAGGGTTTCTTCCATCAGTGAGGTGCCAAAAATTAGGACTTTGACCTTTGTTCTTGATGCCTGCAAAGTGCTAGAACAGGCACGGAAGGTAAGGCTGGGTAACAGGCTTGCTGAGGTTTAGGCCTAATTCTATTGTTGTGTTTTATGCCTTTCTTAAAGTGATGAGATGCCAACCTTGCCCTACTCCAAACAAGGGGAGACAGAAAAAGCTTGAGGGGAGGAATAGCGTCAGGACAGGGGAAGAGCTCATGTCTGCCTTTCCCTGCTCTCAATCTAAGTTGGGTTCTGTCTGCAGTGTTCCTCACAGCCAGGTCATAGGATTTGGAGATTAGCTCCAGTTGACACCGTGGAATCAGCAAAAGGATCTATATTTAGGGTTTTCATATACTGAGTTTGGTCCATTCCAATTTTAAATGCCCCAGTGGTGGTACTTACCTTTTGAAAGCTCTTGTGATACTGTTACAGTTAGGAAGTCCCTCTTGATGCTCATGTTAACAATTTTCCTTTCTTAACTTCATTTCATGAGCCATAGGTGCTCTGGGAGCACTGAGTTACCTACTCCGTGTCCTGATAGCCACATTGTGTAGGATTTGCAGTGCAGCCACTGGATGTGTGCAGTAAACCTATGACAGCATAGGCCTGCAGTGTCTTCTATGCCCTTAAATATAGGAAGGAGGTGGGAATTGCCTTTGCAGCGCTGCCTTTGCAATATATATCTTGTTTGTGCAGGCAGACTTGATTTTGAGAGGCACATGGAACAAGGGTGTCCGACCCTGTTTTGTCTTTTCAGTATGGTAACCCCTGTGTTTGCCAGGACACATATCACTGTTGCTTGCTGCTGCTGGCTTTTCTGGACCATTTATTTAAATGGAACCAGTGGTCTTGTTTCCTGCTGGGTACTTGGATAGCTTTAGGGGTCATTCATTCATAACAGGAGTTTGTCACTTGTTGAAATGCCTTTGTCGTGGGTTCTTGATGCTGTATAGCACCATGCCTGCTTCCCTTTGGGTTCAGTTTTCTCAGTTCCTTGCCACTTGAATTCAATCTGGGCTGCCCAGCAGTTCTGCCCAGGATTGTACTTTGTGTGTTCTGGTTGTTTTGACTCTCTGCTTGCTGGTCGGTCACACTTGTTATGCATTTACAGTCTGTGTTCTTGCAATGGTGGGAACTATCGGTTATTTCAGGCTTCAGTACGAAATAATTACACATTCATTTCTAATCCTATGAGTAGCTCTAGGTAGCCTGTCACTGCTGTCACTTGGCATAATGGTTCACTGGGCTATTGCCACAGACCAGAAATGCTGCCAGGCTTCTCCCAGCCACCAATACGTAATAAAGTCTGGAAGGGTTTGATGCTACTCTCTTCTCGCTTGCTCTGAAGCTGAAGGAGGATGCTTACAGCATGATCTGTACTGCTCCAGGTGCTGGCCTACTCCTGTGTGTACAGCTACTATAACCAGGACACTGAGAGCATAGATATTGTGGAACAGCAGATGGAGAGCCTGGAGCTGCACACTAATGCTCTGCAGATCCTTCTGGGTAAGTCCTGCAGCCTCTCCAAAGTAGAGACTAGTGTTCCTAGCTGTCTGGTTCAAAGGGTGGCAACTCTGGAATGGGGCAGCAGAATACACACCAGCACCCATCTGGTCTCTCTCACTGCTCCCAGCCTGTTTTTGCCTTCTTGATGTCATGTCTGGGAAGTCCACTGAAGCAGTTTGGCTGCTGGTGGAGATTGATGCAGTAAGGAGAAAAATGTTCCCTTCTGAAAGAGGAACGTATGTTAACAGGAGACCTAAAGTAGCTGTGACTGGCTTCATAATCGGAGCCAAGGGACTTGGTCTCCACTTAAGAACGTGGGAAGCAGTGTGACTTTGTTGGTCTTGAATTGCAGAGGAAGCCCTGCTGCAGTACCAGGACCTGGCCTCTTCTCTTCAGCTCCTGAAAGCAGAGCATTTCAGCGCTGGTTTGCAGTTGGTACACCAGATCAAAGAGCGCCTCTTTGCAATTCTCTGGCACTCCACACAGGTGAAGTCCACATGGCCGTTAGTGGCTTGTCTTGCTCTGGTCTAGTTGACTCTCAGGCACACCTAGAAAGGGACTTGATCAGCTGAGGGAATGGACTCTCAGTGTGGTGTGTATGTAGGGAAGGGCTTTGCAGCACAAAACGCGCGCCAGATGCATATTGTCTCCCTCTTATGGCTGTTCTTCCGTGCTAGCAGGATTTCCACGTTGGGCTCCAGACTTTGGCCGATGCTGGTCAGAGAAAGGTGAAACTCTGCAATGTGCCTACATCAGCCCCTGCCTGTATAGGGTGAGTTTTCTTGGCGGGTAACAAGGAGAGGTGGGTGAGTGTAGGTGACCAGAGTTTTCTCCTGTGCTCGCTGACATACAGAAGAATTAATAACAGATGGTTAGTTGCATCTTGTGTTTTGGTTTGAGGTAACAATGTAAGTGTCACGGTGTAGGGAGACCAGCAAAACCTCTGCTAGCTATGCAGCTGTGGTGTAAGAAAGGTCCATCACTGGCAGACCCAGTTATGGAAGTTGCTCTCCCTGGACTTTCTTAGTCACACTCTTGCTTCAGAGGTGTAGCAGAGTTCTTGCTTCATCTAGACATCTCCTAGAAGATGACCATACATGGGGGGAGACAGAAAGGTCTGACATTTCTTTTAATAGGGAGGACGAGGGTGGTGTGGGACTGGGTTGTGGTTGCTGCTCACAGCCGGGGCTCTGCTCTGATGCTCTCCTCCTCAATAGGCCAAAGCGTACCATCTTGTGTGACTCCCCCAACACAGATGAAGGTGGCAAAGAGGTTGAAGATGAGGAGTATGAACCGCAGTGGCAGGAAGACTATGATGATGATGATGACGATGATCTTGATGAAGACAACTTTCTGTTTGATGATGAGTCAGATAACCTTGATTGTGACTCCTACTTTGATGATGATGATGCGTATGACTAGAATTGGGCTGGCACCCAGCCTGCCAGCCTGGACCTCTGCCTCTACTCTGTCTCGACCAGTTTGTACGAGTGTCTTTTCTCAAAGACAGTGAGGAGCTCTCAGGGAAAACAAAGACATTTCCTCTGGGGGCTACTTGCTCCGTGACTCCCTTTAGTATGCAGAAACATTGCTCTGTCCAGATGGGCTGTGATACTATGGCCAACTCTCTCAGAAAGACATCTCCTCCCCTTTCTCCCTTGTCTCCATTTCTGCCCATAGGTATCTACTGGAGTTAGGAAGTCACAATCCAGCTGCAAAGTGAGGACTGTTCGGTGTCTTCGGGCATGCTGTCACCAAAGACTGAGCACTAGTGATTGTAGCATGTGTCCTCGCATGGCCCTGTCTAATCCAGCCAGGGTCTAGCCATGCCGCAAAGCGATGCGTCTACGCTCAAGTCAAAGCCTCCCATCTGGAGCTGGTGGGATTCCCAGCACAGCCACAGGTGGATGGGGTTCAGTGCATTCCTCTAGTTGAGGGGGACAGCTTTTTTGCAGTTTGTCGGAGCTGTCTTCTGTGCTATGAAGCAGGATGGGCTGCTATGAGTGGCACAAGTTTGCAGGACTGGTTTGAAGTGTATAAATGTATGCGCGCACACACACATATGAGATATATATGTATACACACGCAGCGGTTGTTCAGGTAATACTTTATCTTTGCAAAAAAGAAAACCCTGAGGAACAAGGGTTGAAAAACATTGTATTTAAAAACAGAGTTTTCTTCTAGAACAAGGCTCTTTGTTGTCAATGGGGAACATAGGTGTGAAGGGAGAGCAGGCCGTTCTCGAGTGAGGAGGATGCAATCTGGGTGTGCTCATCCCAGGAGTTAGTTATGAAACTGGTGTGGGTTTGGAATCCCCACCCAGGCCACACAGTCTGCCCTGCAAGGTGGCTTTTCCTTCCTGGGCAGATCAGGGAAGAGTAAGAGGTATGGGGAGAGGTGGGAAAGCAGGCAGGGGACCAGACTACACAGGGTGGTGGGGCTGGTGTTTCTGAGAGCAGCTGCAAGACGGACTGCCAGCATGTCGATGAAGGTGGTAACATCTGGTGCCCAGCAGAAGGCAGATGTGGGACTGCTCTCGGGGCTTGCGGGGTGATTTGGAGGTTTGTGGGATTATGTTGGAGATATTTGTACTGAAAATCGAGATCAAGTCGTCATCTTCTCTGCAGGAAGTTTCTGTCCTCCCTGAGCTCATCTGAGAACACCTGCAATATGGTTTGACAGAAGTCAAGTTTTGGACATGGAGAATTCCTGGTTTGATAGTCACAGCGGCATCTCAGTGCGCACACAGAGACTGCGTGACTCCCGGCCGGGTTAAACAAGGCTTTCTGGACTTGAGTTAAATGCCAGGAAGACCGACACGCTCCTGGCAGTGCAGAAAGGAGAGGTTACAAGCAGCTGGAAGCTTGCATTAGGTTCGTGATCATATCACTCGCATCTGTTAATGTAGCGGGGTGCGTCCAAGCGGGTGGCGTGCCTGTCCACAGAGCGCCTGGAGCCTTTTG